AACGATCCATTTATGCTATCGAGAACGGAGACAGACTCAAAATTTTTGAAGTTATGCCACAAGATCGGTATCCGAAACTCATTGACTTTGCACTTTATATAAAATCATTATTCGCATCAACTTACATCTGTGAAAGCACGTTTTCTATTATGAAGCACATCAAATCTGCTCAACGTTGTTCGCCGTCCAATGAAGTGTTAGAACATCAACTTCGTCTCGCTTCAACGCAAATTAATATTGACATTGAAGAACTTATTAGCAATACTAAGCGCATCCATTTGTCACATTAATATTTTCATTCCTCATTTTATTCACGATACATTTACTACGTCGTTAAACATCGAAATTTCCAAAAATTCACGATGGCCCCGCAATCTCGCACGATGGGCTATCTACGGTCCTGACAGACGTCGGTCGGTTCTGCCGGCTGACGCGTTGGAGGCAGAAGCGTCCGAAGTAGAGGTCGGCTCGCGAGCCACATTTTGTCAGCCCTGATTTAACGAGTTATAATGCAATATTTATACCAAGTGTCCGATAACTCAAAGACCAACGATATAAATTACGTATAAAAAAAAACGGGAGATAATCATATCTCAGAGCAGGTTTTGCCGCTTGTAATAAACAACTCTCCGTGCGCTTAACGACTTGGCGGCTGTAATTATTTCAGCATTATGCCCTATCTCAGCGCTCGGAATTAGTTGCACATTTTGGGCCGATTTGAGAGACGTCTCCTGTTCCCCCACTACCGCCCGGTCGCTGGCGGTCGAGACGCCGATAGCTCTGACGCAAGAGCGTTTTATATAAGAAATAGGCTCGGTTGTTGAGGCACCTCTCAAAAAATAGTAATATTTTCTTTGCTACATAAATAATGTTTATTTTCATTAATAATTAAATATATATATTATGTATTAATGAAAATAAACATTATTTATGTAGTAAAGAAAATGACTTAGTTTACACCGATTGTTTAGTACGCGTATCAAATACTAAATCTGCTTCTTCGATAGGTATAAATCGTTTAGTGTAAAATCTACACCAATCAAAGAAGCTGATTCAGTATTTGATACGTGTACTAAACAATCGGTGTAAACTAAGCCAATGTTACGATTTCCTGAGAGATGCCTAAACAATCTAGTCTATTTCTAATATAAAACGACTCCTGAACCAGAGCTATCGGCGGCTCGGCCGCCAGCGACCGGGCGGTAGTGGGGGGACAGGAGACGTCGTCTCCAGAATCGGCCCGAAATGTGCAACTAATTCCGAGCGCTGCCCTATGCAGTACGTGTATCCTGAACCGATTAATTGAATAGTACCACTCCTCGGCGACGCTGGCTTTAATGGCTGCAGCGCGTGCGGTAAGAAGAAGAAAGTAGGCATGAACCGCGAGAGTCCTGTAATGCTGAAATAATTACAGCCGTCAAGTCGTTAAGCGCGCGGAGAGTTGTTCATTACAAGCGGCAAAACCTGTTCTGGGATATGATTGTCTCCCGTTTTTTATTGTATCTCGCCGCGCGCTTGCATTCGGCAGCAGGCTAGACGGATACGCACTTATTCGCGATCTTTAGTAATTAATAACTCATTAATTGTTGCGAAAATTGCAAAATGGTACAAGACTTTTCGATTTAGTTTAGTCCGTTCTATCTGCACACGAGCGCTTTGTCAAAATTTTAGGGACATTCTGTATATATATTAAAATTCAATAGCATGATTTTGTTTTGCTTAAAAAAAACTTTTAATCTAACTTAATAACATTAAATTAATAATTTATCAGATTACCATCCAATTATACATTGTATTAAATTTTATGCCGTAATGCGATTAAATTAAACTTTTTTAGATTCTTTATATTATTTTTCAAGCACAACTTTTATATAAAAGACAGAAAATTTGTTTACTGACTTATTTTGCAAATATGTTTTAGGTTTTTCTTTTTTAATATTACATTCACTGAACCTTAATTGCGAGGGACGCATTAAATACATGAGTTGATATTTTTAATAACAAATTTAGATGTTTGTATGACCTATATCAATGCAGAACTACCGTGTACTTGTCAGTTGCACATCAACAACTGATTGCGTTGTATCTTGAAAAAAGACGTACGTTAATAACGTAAAAAGTAAGTAAAATAAAACATACGTGTATAATTAATTATATGATCTCTGATATCATTCCATTGATAGAAAAGAGACACAACTCAAAATGAGCAACTTTACAGTAGAGTATTTAAAAAAATTCTGAATTGGAACAATGTTTTCATTAAAACTATGTCATGAGTTTTCAAAATTTGAACGGTGCAACCCTAGTATTGTGTAAATTTCATCCTTTATCAAAGTTATGATACTTTTCCATATAAGCTTTCTAATATGATTACATAATCTTTCACACGCGTGCGAAGATCTTGCATTCTGACTCTTTGCGCTCTTATTAATTTTATATGATTATTTTAATTACTTGAGCCTTATTATGCATTTAATTCCCAAATATATCTCAATTTTCTGAAAATGTTATTAAGATATCATAATGAGTATATTACTAAAACGCTCTCATGTAAAATATACCATAAGATATTTTCCATAAGAAATGTAATTATAAAACAAATAAACGCGCATATCATGAGAATTTCTGACTGCTGCAGTAAAAGCATACACCAATAAATAGCACTAATGTTTGTAATAAATATTTTCTAGACTTTATAACTTTATTGTGCGATTTGTAATTACTGTAACAAATGTCTATAGCTTCTCTCTCGAGACAATGCTAAATCGATTGCGAGAGCCATCGAAAGCAGATTTACGATAAATTCTCCTTTGAGATAATAAAATTTTCAGTCGTTATCAAATAATTTCGTAGTTTCCTACTGTGTAAAAGAGAAAAATTATAATGTGACACATTTATAATTCAAAAATTGAAAAACGAGAGAAAAGTATCAGGAATATATTTCATTTGTTAGAACAGCAAACTTAATTTATTCGAGATCGTAATTTGTGTTTCTTGCCAGCACTTTCTCTCCAACAATGCTATTTAAATGTTCTTCGTCTTGAGATGTATTTAGCATACAAAAGCCTACGTGACTAACGGTGAGCACTTTAAAGAGACTCGTATGCAGATAAATATACACTCGAAAAGCTTAAGTGCTTTCTTTCTCGGGCAGATATATTTTTGCATCTTGAGAGACTAAATAAATTGATTCTAAACAAAAAATTATAATCTTAACAAATTAATACGCGTTATACAGCTATTAAAAAATTTAATACATTTTGATTTTGAATTTTACAGTCTCTTGAAAAAAACAAGATTTTCTCTTTATTCCTTTTTGTATGATACTTAATTAATTTATATTTTAGGTTAATTAAGTAATTAAGAAACTGTTAAAAATATAAAATTAATAGGTAATTATGCATTACAGGAAATGTAGGTCCAATGACTTTGATCTTGATATATGTTGTAGACACAACTTTGAATAACCATCAAAAGGTTTGTAGTCTGCGCGCTCGTTTATCAAAAAATTATTAACAAAATAATTTTAATAAATTGAACGAAATTTTCCGACACCATGTGCATTTATAATAAAATGTACTCTTAGCAGATATAATTATTTAAATGATAAATTAAATGTGATAAATTAAATAAGCCTCTCCTCCGTTTATGCATTTAATTTATCACATTTAAATAAAAAAATCTGTAACAACTAAAATCTTTTGGTTTGGTCGAGATTAGGATTATGACATCAACACTACATTACATCATTACAAAAACATTACATCATATGTAAAGGACAAGGTCATTGGAGTTGCGTTCCCAATAATGCAAAATTAGCGATTAAAATTATCGTAATACGGTTTGCTAATAACATCGTTGCTATCTTCAGTGCTAACATTTATTAGATGATAATTATTGTACAATTGAGTTTTCATTAGCGTTATTACAAAATGCGAAGTTTTAAATTAGTCGTCTTTTAAGTTCATTTTTATTACATGGCATTTAAACTCATCACCATGCTTGCTGTACATGTAATTATTCACAGCAGAAAATGCAGTGAGAACGAAATGTCGCTGGAAACTCAGAGTGAAGCACGTTGTTAACAAAGTTGAAACAGAATGTGGACACAGAAAATACTTGCCGCATAAATAAGATATATTAAGTTTCTTTGTGGTCTTTAGAATTGTCATGCTCACTTTTGCAGAGTGCATCTGCCATAAAAGTTCAAAGTTTGCACTCTGACCTTTTTTATAGTATTAAAAGCGTAATTTGAAGAAAAATAACAATTTCTTGAAACTTTGTTAAATAATATTTTAGTATTATAGATTTTGATAAAGTTGAATTTTTTTGGCGAAATAACGATATTTTCATACTTTGCTTTTTAAACTTTTTGCGCATAATTATTTTTATCTAATAAATTTCAAAATTTTATTTTTATAAAATTAGGAAAAAATATAAAATAACTGAATGTTTCTTCCATTATTATCACAAGTGCTGCAATTTCTCATAAACGGGAAAATGTGAGACGTATCTCTGTTTCATTTAATAGCTCATATACATCGTTCTTCATTTCCCAATGTGTTAGGTTGCACTTTTCAAATATTCTCCGTAATGTCGAAAATCGCTGGACATTTTTTCCAACACGTGTGGATTTTGCGTCAGATTACTATAAATTATATCTATTATTATTATTCCAGCTGCCATCATTACGGCCACGCAATCTTGGGCACGAGGCACAAACTTCCTGCACGATACTTTCAATTTCTGTCAAAATGCCTCGATTATCTTAACTCCTGTCGATCGATTCCTCTAATGCATTACTATCTACATGTGCAGGCGGTGGTGTGCTTCGAAATTCGATACAATCCCCCAGACGGAAGTTGCAGCTCGTACGCGGCCTCGGAAATAATGGAGGACGAACAGCAAATGTTGATCGACATCGAGCAAAATATCGCGAACCTTGAAAAAAGCCTCGAGCAGGCCAATTCTACCGGTGGAAAAAAAGTAGGATCCTGGCATACTCCGGAAAAAACATCGAAAAAAGGCATCTTACAAAAAGGCACTTCTCTGTCAGCCAGCGAAAAGTCACCCGACACCCGAAAGCGGTAAGTGATGTGTACAAAAATAAACCATATTTCAAACAACGAAATATAATAACTAATGTTGCCAGATTTAGCAGTTTACCCTAAAAATAATAAAAAATTATTATTTATAAAAATATTAATTATAAATTTTAATATTTATTATAAAATTATCTAAAGGCAGTTTATCAAAAAATTTATATTTACAGAATTATAAAGCTTGTAAAATAAAAAATATAATTTTTCTATTTATTTTGTATTCTATAATTTTGTTTCTATAATATTATTTTCAAATCATATTTTTACAAGTGTGTTGCAACGTCTTTATTAATTATGCATTTTACATTTTTATATTTGACGTTCTCGATATGCTGTTACAATATGTCTATTTTTTAAACAAATTCTTTAAACTCAATTTCTCTAATAATAATCAATTTGGTATTTAGACCACACGATAAAATATCTCGCTTCATAACTCTGACGTCTATCTCTGTAAACATTGCGAAATTACATGTCATTATTTAATGTAAATATTAATATTCTATTTTTAATTATTGATGAAATTATATATTTAAAATACAAACATTACGCGATATAAAATACAAACATTACTACAATACAGGATGTTTCATAATGTTGAGGCCAACGCTCGTGTAGAGCGCGATAAACTGAACAGAACAATTCTTTACCGTTTTTAAATTTTGCAATAACAATTAAGATATTATTTAACACGTGCCTATTTTTGCGTCACCACGGCTCACGCTGGCGCATTTATTATTGAGCTCAAAACGTATACATATATTATAATTATAATAAATTTAACATTGATGTATTATCAAAATAGTGTAGAACAAGAGAAATAAGTTGTGAAATGTTTTATGATAATATATTTGTTTAAAAATATTAAACAGCCTGAATGGACAGTTCAGCGTGGGCTATCGATGGTACACGGGGCACGTGTTAAAAAGAATTGACAAATGATAGCGCGGATAGACCGTGGGCTGTACGATCTAGATGGATCAATGACTTCGTCCACTGAGGCGAAGCGAAGAGAAGAGAATTTTGTCCACAGAAAAACTTTACATGTAATCAAATGGGAGTCCGCCCATTGAGGAGGCGAAGCGAAGCGAGCGAAGCGAAGAGTTATTGAGAGAGAAGTCTAGCCAGTTAACCAGGCGAAATTCGTCTGGACGCTTCTCTTCGCCTCGTCTCAATGGGCAGCAAATAGGCGAAGCGAAGAGTCAAAATATTCGATCTTCGTAATCCTTCGGACACTTTCGACACTATTATTGCGTTAGCATTTTCTTGCGAGGTAATTATGATGACAGAAGTCATGAGAAGCCGCGCTTCTCTTCGCCTCAGCGTGCGGACATTTCTGAAACGACGCTTCTCTTCGATTCGTTCACTTCTTTTCGCTTCGCCTCAGTGGGCGCCTACCTTTACTCCTCTCGCCGCGCGCTGTTGTTTTTCATAGCCATGCGATACGCCGCTGACCAATCCAGATCGTACAGTCCATGGTTTAGCCACGCGCAACACGCTATCATTTGTCAATCCTTTTAATTAAGATCTCAATTATTATTGCAACAATTGCAAAATGGTGAAGGACTTTTTTTGTTTAGTTTACAGCACTCTACCTGTACACGAATGTTTGGACAAACATTTTGAGCACCTTGTATAATTGCATGACGTTCGTGCTATATTACGCGAGAATACATCGTTGAGAAAATCAATGCAAATCAATGTGAAATAATGAATTAAAATTGTGCGAATTGTTAATTTTATTCAAGGAACATGAAATATAAATATTAAATTAACAAACTAAATAATATTACAATTAAACAAATAAGCAAAGTACACGCGTGAGTTTAAGCTTTAAATTTATTTAAATTCATAATTTTTAAAGTACAATAATCATTAAAGTTTATTATTTATCATTCATTTCAACATGCAATTCTCATTGTGACACAATTATAAGTTAATATTTAAGTAATATCAATAATTGCTGTATTATTAAAGTTTCTAATTACGCTGTCGCATAAACGAATTTATTGTAAATATGTCAAAAACACACATTTTGCTTAAATATATTAAATTAAATCAATAGTTAAAATTGCAAGTTAAAATACAGATCATGTATAGGTATTTTATTGCCGAATAAAATATTTCCGTCTTATACATATACATTTTGTAAAAATCTAATAAGATTGAAATTTTCTGCCAAGTTATTAAGTTTACGTAAAAAGTAAACAAGTTTTTACTTCGACATTTATATTCATTAAAATACATTTATTTTTATTTTTGCGCCAAGCCAAAACCATTTGAAAATAGATGCGCGGCATCTGTGGAAGAAATTTCACTTCTCATTTTTCTAAGGTGTTTGCATCCGAGGTGCCGTGATACATCTTCGTCGTCTTAACATTTACTTTTTACGTTCCATCAAAAACGAATTTCATATCTAGATGCAGGAATTGCATTTATTTTTCATTTTATTCAAACTGACGGTTAAACAAAAATTATAATATTTTGTTTAAAAAGTTTGCATATTTATTATTATCATTTTTTCTTAGAATATCTGTTTTCACTGACGTGTCGTCGCCGTCATAAAAATTTCTATTTTACTATGTCATCAAAAGCATAAAATATGTGTTATACGAGTTCAATATCGAGATGGATAGACTACATCTATTTCTTAAATCATTCAAGCTCAAAATTAGAGGGTAAAAATAGTGTATTCAGGAAGTTCGCTTCTCATGTTTATTTTTGCGGAATAACTGTTGTCCGATCAATAACGTACCATCGCTATTTATCATTTTGAATTTTAATGGGAAATTTTGCACTTTAATCCAAAGTGAAATTCACTGTTTACTATGTCACGTATGCATAAGTCGCATTTTTTATTTTTCTGCGTCATACGAAATTTTGAAGAAAAGAATGAATCGCTAATCAAGGCGACTCACGGATGCTTATCTATTGGATTGTATCATAAGTCCGTAGCGTTTTTTTACCGAAGACAATGCTGTCGGTTTGGTGGGATTGGGAAAATGTCATCCACTTTGTGTTACTTCCAAAAAGTCTAACTATTACGGCCGAACTTTATTTGCAACAACTGCGACGTCTGGCCAATGCAATTCAACAAAAACGACCAAACCGCCGATATGATGCTATTTTACATGACAATGCTCGGCCGCACACAGCTAATTTTACGAAAGCAGCCATCCTTGGCTGGGAGGTTCTGCCGCATCCGGCTTACTCACCGGACTTTGGATTACGACCTTTTTCTTTCGTTACCTCTCCAACAGTATACGTGGTTCCAGGGCCGCATTTATACTTTTGGAGGCCCTAGGCGCAACATCATTATGAGGCCTTAAAAGAACAAGTCTATTTCAGTTAATCAAATTCATACGCATTTTTTTAAAGTGTTTATTGAAAATAAAAGTCGACATGCATTACATGATGCAAAAAGGCGAAATTTAATAAACAATTACCGCTTACGAATTTTTCAGCGGCCTCTAGTTTTTATATTATGAATTTAATATTTAAAAGTAAGTATTTTATTTTGCAACTATAACTAGGCTGTTTTTTATTGTCATTAGTGAGGAGTAAGATTTCAAAATGAGGCCCCAGCTTGCGCCTAATGCGCCTTATGGTAAATGCGGCCGTGCGTGGTTCTTTAAAAACGACGAAGAAATGCAAAATTGGCTTGCCGATTTTTTTGTCTTCAAACCAATTTATTTTTATTACAATGAGATAATTTATTACAGTGAAATAATTAATACAGTGAGATCGAAAAACTGGTCAGACGTTGAGAAGAGGTCGTAGATAATGGAGGAGAATATATTATAGATTGGTTTATTTATGTTTATGTTGGACATAAATTATTTTAAAAGGTTAAAAAAAAGCGCTACGGATAAGCGCTACTTATGATACAACCCATTAATTCTTACTTCTCTCACAGCATAATTGGCAACCAAAGACGCCAATTACCTAATGCTAATACTGCAAATATCTCTTGTTTATTACTAAATTAAATTCCGAATTTTTTTTGCGGGTTGGCAACGTTCATTCCGATACATCAGTGCTCGGAATTAGTCTGAACATTTCGGCCGATTTCCGTGGTATACGCCTCCTTTCCTCTCCTTACCGCGCGCGCCGCAGCCGCTAGGGCCAGCGCCGCCGAGCGTTAGGAGCGACACTATCTGATTATGAATGGGTTCTTTTCCCTATTTATTAAAATTTTAAAAAATGTATTAAAATTTATTAAAAATAAATTTTTATTTTTAAATTTATTAAGTGGAAATATTTCAATAGATTTCCACGTCACCCATGAGATACTAATGCTGACGCGTTTTTTTTTTAAGTAGTTTCCCCCGTAGACCTATTCCACTAAAGATAAAAATAAATTCTTAATTTAAAAAAAAATATATATAAAAGAGATTTTCTTAATTAGATTTTCTTAGCCTTTTATGAGAATGAACAATTGATGCAATAATGTAGATAGAAACCACTTTTTGAAAAACGTGTCAGTATTAGTACCTCATGGGTGACGTAGAAATCTATTGAAATATTTCCACTTAATAAATTTAAAAAAAATTTATTTTTAATAAATTTTAATAAATTTTTTTAATTTTAATAAATTGGGAGAAGAACCTACTCATAGAACCTAATCAGATAGTGCCGCTCCTAACGCTCGGCGGCGCTGGTCCTAGCGGCTGCGGCGCGCGCGGTAAGGAGAGGAAAGGAGGCGTATACCACGGAAATCGGCTAAAATATTCAGACTAATTCCGAGTACTGCGATACATTAATCAGCAGCCTTCGACGTCATTAGCATATTTCCGAGTAGAAATTTGATCAGGCGTGCCTTGTGTTATATAAGGCCCTAATTAGATATAAATAAGGCATGCCTGACTACGGCCGTACCTTTATAGGACCTTTTTTACTCTCGTATGTAATATATAATTAAGGCATATCTAATACGGCATCAGTCAGGACCTTCTCTAAGTTGCCCTAAAAAATCTTTATAGTAAAATCTGGTAAAGTAAGAATCAGGATCTTTATGTAGTTTTTTTTTTCAATATATAAATTTGAAAGATGTCACTCTGATATGCCAGAGTAATGAAATCCTTATGGCAATTTTTCTCAATTTCTTCTAACAAAAAATTTTCAAAAGTAAATTTGTCTATGATAAAGCATCAATTAGGGCTTTTTTATTTGACTAATATTATCATTGTAGAAACTACGATTTTTTTCTTTTATTACGATATTTAGATTTATTTTTTATATACTTGATGTATAATTAATAAAAGGTACTGTGTAAGAATTTTTTGGTGTATGAATGATAAGTAATATTTTAAAATAACTTGAATTTAACTATATATTTCTGATATTAACAAATTTAAGTTTATTAAAATTAAAATTATTTCACAAATTTTGGACTCTCTGGTTCATATTTGGCGGAATTATTGCTAATTGTTTCATAATTTGCAAAAGACTGGGACGGATTTCGCTTTATACGGCACCAAAACACAATAGAAAATAAAATTCTCAATTCAAAAAAGCCACAGGATAACAAACATGATAATGATAAAGAGAATAAAATAATGAATCAAGTAATTGAGAGCTTCAGCGAAGAAGACAGCAACGATGAAGAATAATGAAATAGTTAAAAAAAAAATTAAGATTTTTAAACGTAAGAATATTTTATTTTGTTTTTGTTATTTTGTGTTTTTTTTTTATAAATGATAAACGGATGTTATGATTTGAACAGATGTTTATGTTATGTGGATTTATATGTCAGCTTGTTTATATTTTGTTTTTAAGCGTGCATTTTTTATCTCTTGAAAAATGTTTAAAAAATGTCAAGATTAAATTCTTAGTATTATTTTTTTACTAATTCTGTAAATTCTTTAAAAATCTTAATGTTCTAAATAAATAATAAAAATATTAAAAATATTCAAATTTATAGTTATTTATTTTAGAGCCTGACAGCATCCTTATGTCAATCCTATTAAGGCTCTTTTTTTTTATCCTGATGTTGTCCTGATAATATGCCTGAAAAGGTCTTCATGAATCCGGCTAATGTGGTTACCTTATTAGGTAAATGAAATCCGGTCCTGATTATGCAACGCGTTACACATCTTGTCAGAACCAAATCAGGTGACCTTACCAGGGCCAGATTATATATTACGGCACTCTGATTTGGACCTGCTCAGACACTTAATAAAATTTCTACTCGGGTTACTACGTACTACTATCGCGTCATTGGAACGTGAAGAGATTGTTTAATAAAGGCGGCAGACATCCGGCGATGTCGGGCGTTAAAGTTCATTATCGCTGTTTCCTCGGTGAACCTTTTGACGATAAAAGGTCAGATAAGAAAGATATGAAATATAAAAAGATTAGCGCAAATTTAATATGAATATTTAATTACAAGATATATTATTTCTGGATATAAAAGGGATGTAATTTAAGAGAATTAAAATTCTACCTATTTTTCCGACATTATTATTATGGCATATAATGCAAATTTTCTAATTATTAAATCGCACAGAAAGTATTATTATAAAATAATTAGAGTTACATAACTTTGTATTAAATAGAACTGGATTTCAGTTATGATAAGAACATTAACAATTTATCGCATAAAAATTTTTTATTATTCGTACAGTTTTAATAATGACTTTACAAGGATAAATATTGTATAATAAGATGATAACCTTTACTTGATTTTTTATTTCTGTAAGCGACTTTTAAATAGTTTTAAAATCACTTTGCATCTTGTATCTTGGAATTTAGTAGTAAGCAGAAAATATTTGTAGTTTTAGCATTAATTGAGTCCCTGGTTGCTAATTATGCCGTTGGAGAAGTAAGAATGAGAAAGTAAAATTCAAAGTTGTTTTTTATAAAGTAAAAGTGTCAAACGTTTTTTTTGGCGAATCTCACGTTTTTCTGGCTTCTCACAAAAATTTATCGATTAATCTTCTATTTTTATTCATCAAAATGGGAGATATAATTTATATACATTTCGTCATATAGTCTATTGTTAGAATCTTGTTCCGGCGAGTCGAAGGAAGAAGCTGTTTTTTATATCTCGCAAGTGACTTCCTCTTCGGCAGATTAGATTCTCCAGGGAATGCAATTCCTGTCGCTGCTTCCACACGCAGGAACGTAATCGAACGTAACCCGTGTCTGTTCATACGTGTAATAACATGTAATAACGTCCCCGTAACACATTCTCGTTCGCGAAACCGCCCACGGCACCCGGCGTTCATTACAATCGATGAACTAGAATAGATGTGACGAGATATTTTAACAAGTATTTGTACCCTCGTCAATTTCATCCAAAATTCGGCTAGTAGTACGACACGTGTTTCCACTGGCGGATTACAATGGCGCATAGCTGTATCGAAATATTTGCCTGCAAACTTTGCTCGAGCTATTGAAGCTTTAATTTTTTAAAATTTTTAACTTATAAAGGATTGATAAACAAGAAAAAGCTAATAAAATTCAAAATTTGTGCATCAATATTTTTAATGTTATTTGCGTGTGAATTTATAAAGCTCTGATTTAAAATAAAATATTACCGCTATTTTCCACATAATATATCCTCATTTATTTTTTTAACTTGGATTAGAGAATGTCGAGTTTAATTTGTGCGACTGAGATCTTCAGTTCGCCGCAGTTTACGGTTACGAGCGAGATCTGGGTGAAATTGTGGCTTTAAAGAGAGAGAGAGAGAGAGAAAGAGAGAGAGAGAGAGAGAGAGAGAAAGTGACGTCAACGAAATTGCCGACATTCTCGGTGCGCAACAGCAAGAAACTCGATCGAAATGATATAAACTTGAGATGTTAGTAAGCGGCTTTCCGAGCTGAGAAGAGAGAGAAGTTTATATTTATATCCTACGAATATATGGGCGAAAGCGAATTGAGACAGAGTTAAATATTTAAGTTCCGACATCAAAAAGCGTTTTAGCACTTTTCTGTTTCTTTTTCTCCTAATACACCTATTGAAAAATGTATAAATAAATTCTTTTTATGAAAATTTTAAACGGTTAAAAAGATTGTGCAATTTAGTTTACATCTTCAGCACTTTTCCATAATAAATAATGTAATAATGCTGTTTAAGTTCAGATTACGTAAATATTATTTAATTTCGAGAAACATTACATTGAATTACATATTTCAATTAATGTTGAAATTCTTTTGAACTCCTGCTGGAATCCTCAAAGCTTCCTAGATGACAAAGAAAATTAGCTCAAGAAAGTTTGCTCGCCGACATATTAGATTTCTTTGCACTATGGAATTTTCTGCAGAAGCACCACTCTGAGGAGCATGCGATCTTTGTTGAAATTGGGAAAGCAGAGACCGCCACGTACTCGATCCTGCGACAGCAGTTCGGAAACGAGAGAGCTCCTCGACAGGCAGGACTCCAGCTGCCCAACTTCCAACGAACCCTCCCGAACGAACTCGATGACATCTCTTGAAACAAATGCGTCCGATAACGACAGCCAGTTAAATGCCAACCCTGAACAAGAGGAAACAGTTGTAAAACAGAACAAGAAATCAAAACCAAAGGTTTAACATATTTTTTACAAGAATTAATCATGCATATTACGTCACATCGGCACATGTAGATAAAAATGTAGAATGACATATCGCGTTAAAAGCTTAAAAAAATTTTAAATAATATTTATATTAAATAAAAATTTATATGTACATTTATTTCTCATTTAGATGTACATTTTTATTTTATACTTCTTTTATATCTTTAATACATTTTACATATATATTCACATATTATATTTTTCTAAATTTATATTATTACATTATTACATTATTACATTGTATGTTATGTAAATTTCAAAAGTCTTAATTTTGCAAAAAATTAGCTTTTTGTTTTAACGATGATAAATGTTTTGCAACTTTTTTAGCCAATGGATATAAATAATACGACGATGAAAATTTTTTCAGAAGATAGAATACTCTTAAAAATTTACTTTTAAAAGTTCTCTAATAATTGAGTTTCCAAATGCGTCACAGCACACCGCATTGAACCCGCAATTATTTATAAATAACGGCGGAGTTATCTTTAAATGAGAGTTGAATCGACCAACTTTGAAAAGGACAAGCGTAAATTGCGAATGAAAGACGAGCAAAATTTTTACGTTTTTAATTTCGTTTTTTTTATGACAAGCAGTTTCGATATCATGCTGCATGCTATCTTTAATTCTGTATCTCGGAAAATATTAACGGCTCATATCACTGTTGCAAAGCAAATGTTTCTTTGCAAATAAACTGACAGTTTTATATTACATTGCTTTCGTTCTGTAACTTCACGATGTTATTTTTATAACAAATATTAAACTGTTTTTGAGCAGGCAAAGATATATTCTTAAAAATTCTTTCAAATAACAAGATTTTAAGCGTACCTTTCTTAACTGTACTTTTTTTTCTTTGAAGATTCTGATATCAAAGATTCTATTAATTCAGAATATACGCCGCAATACTTAAGCAACTTTTCTGCAAGAATAAGTTTTCCAATATTTAAAACGCATTATATATGTATATAAAAGTTATTTAACATTTTTTGCCAGAATTTTTTACATCAAAAACATTTTTTTTTTCTTATTATCTTTTCTCATCAGGGTAAATGTTATATAACTTTTTTATAATTCTAATTGGTGAGTTTTTGCGATCGCGATTTTATTTGTCTCTTCGGGCTATTAATAAATCTCGTTAAAATTGGAACGAATAAAAATTGATTTATGTAAATAAAAATGTAAGGTAATATACGTGATCACAGAAAAGAAAGGTTTTTTAATATTCAATATTTACCGTAACAATTTACTTAAAGTTTAAATGTTGCGATATAAAATTTTTTTTAAGTCATTTTTTAAATTATTGAAAATATAACAATTTACTTAACAATTTACTTAAAGTTTAAATGTTGCGATATAAAATCCTTTTTAAGTCATTTTTTAAATTATCGAAAATATAAAAGTCACTCTCTGAAATTTTTGCTTACAAAACGTAAATATCAATATTTATTCCGATCGGAATCGACTTTCTACTTGTTTATAAGATGTCGGAATTTCGTTTGTGCCAGAATTTATCCGAATATTCATAATTAAGACGGATGACTAATATTATCCAAATGACAGACGACTGATAAAAACACTGAATTAATACGATCGAAAATATTTCCGAATAAATATATAATAACAGTCCTGATTTATTAATGCGTAACAAACGTATAATGTTCATTTCTATTTTCTGCAGCAGGTATCAGATTTCCAATTATGTTCAAAACGCATTACACATTTTGCTCGAAATTGCTTCTCATAACTTCAAACATTGCATTTCAACCAAGATAAATTATGAAAACTTTTAAAGTATGTAAGTATAATCAAAGTACATTATAAACACCGTATTTCTTTCTCGTCGTCGTATTGCGTAGCATTATATGCAGCATTTTCTTCATGGATTCATGGAAGCCATTGCACGTGCTGTTTATATTTTCCTCCGCAGTTCAAGTCCAGCTGAATTAATGTGAACTTTTCTCATTTCGCAGGCGGGCGATACCGGGCAAAGTGCGTTAAAAGCTCAGGATTACCAAGTGTGCGTTACGATTATCGAGGCAAGGCAACTTGCCGGTCTCAATATGGATCCGGTGGTTTGCGTGCAAGTCGGCGATCAGCGCAAATACACGAGCGTCAAGGAATCCACGAATTGCCCATACTACAATGAAGTAAGAAACAGAGAAGTGCATTGCTCGTGAAATTTTAGTTAAATCATTTATTACATTGGGATATAAAAGTAAAGATAAAATAAAATAAATAACTTGTGCAAAATTTGTTATTTCTTATGTGCTTTACAGATTATTAAAAGCTATCTAATTCTTTCTCTCGTTTAAATTTTCTTTAATTTGTGACATTTAATTTCTAATTCTTTCTCTTGTTTAAATTTTCAGTACTTTGTCTTCGATTTTCACATGCCGCCCGTGATGCTTTTCGACAAAATCATTACGCTCTCGGTAAGTTTATTCGCACTTATTAATTCAATAAGGCAGAATTAATGTGTTCATCGATATTTAATAGATTTGAATAATTAGCGATAAACACGTGTTAATAAATAATTTCACTCCATTACATTTTTCTCGTCCTTAATTACATTCAACGGGTATTTAATTAGTATCGGAAATCGATCGTTGAGGAAGGCTTGAGGAAAGAATGTTTAAAATCTGTTAAAAGTTATATTTGATCACAGGTTAGATGTTTAATATTCAAGATAAAAAAATGTGAAAGAGAAAAAAATAAGAGAAAAAAAGATCGTTGAAACAGGATAATTTTTAATAATACGCAGGTGCAGCAATCGCGGAATCTCTTGCGCGCTAATCTAACGCTGGGCATCTTTAAGTTAGACATCGCGACGGTATGGGCACAACCAGGTACAGGTTTCACATTGTCCAGAGACCAGGCGAGTCTTAATGCTCGGTGTACTTGAGAGTTTTATTCTTCGAGAGTAGAACTCGCGGTAAATGGGCCGAATACCGTAAGAGCGTGTAGTTCACGTACATTTGTAGTTCAAATACAAATTATGCTGAAAGCTGTACATATCGTTAACAATTGTAGTTTAAAACTTTACTTCAAAATACTATCTGTAAATTATTATGCAAAAGTAAATTATTTTTATTTTAAATTCTTGTATCAATTACAATTATTTCAATCATATTATTCAATTTTGATGATAGCAAAAATCTTTGATCAGATTTCTCAATACGCTTGTCAGTTCAATTTGCAGTTATAAGAGTTTAACAGATATCTTCTTTTTTTTCTATTAAAATATTATTTTTTCACAAAATAATCAAGAACTTTGACAAGATGATTCGAGATTTCTTTATTTGAGAATTTTTTATCAAGAGCAACTGTCGTGGATAAAATTCTCAAGTGTACATCTGGTGTGAGATTCGGCATGTAATGCTGGCAAGTGTGTTTCATTCGTTATCGTCAAATAAATTCCTTTTCTCACTATGTTGTTCTCTGCACTTTGCTTGCAAATTTTCAAGAGTCCCGTGTGTTTGCAAGAAAGATGTCTTTCTGCGCGGATATAATATAACTCCAGAAATTTAAAGCGAAGTGAAATTCGTTATGAAGCAAAAGTAGCACATTCACATCATTTCTAAAGAAGAAATTCCGCCAACTCATGCTTTCTTAGGTTCTCGCAGTACTATTGTATTTAAACGAACTTTCTGAAAGTCTTATATTACAGTCTTATATTACAGTTTTATATTTCACAATTAGATATTTTTTTCTTTCTGAATTTAATCAATGAATAATTATTGACATTTTATTTTCAAAAGGAACCATTTTAATTTAATCCATACAAATATATTTTTAATCTCTTATGTAGTTTAATAGTAATTAATTAATTAATGTTCCGATAAATGTGTTCCTAATTTTACTTCAATAATATGTAGCAATTTTTATAACATTTTCTGTACTATTAATAGCAATTTATATGTTGGTAATATTGATACGTTTTTCTAATTTTATTAGGTATTTTGAAACATATACGTTCTAATTTGTTATCAGTGTGCATTATAAACATTATTAGCAAATGGATAAGCATTCTGTAAGATGTTGACTTTAGCGGGTATATCGCAATTCATGATATTCCCTTGTACAAAGACGCCTACGTAGCAATGTGCTAATGAGGCTCTTACGATTAATGAGTAATAATGATGAGTAGGCACGCGTCCACATATATCTGCAAGTGAAAAATTTAAATTAAAAAATTTCGCGATCTCTTACGCCGCGGGAAAATTAATCACGCCAATCCTCACTCAATATTCCACTTTTTGGAAACGCGCTTTTTTATACCGAAATCTCGCACAGTCATCGCGCGTAATTTATTGATCGCTGCAGAGGGAGTTGTTAGGGAAAACTACAGAACGTTAGTAAAATGTATATCAATCATAATTTACCGTGCCCGACATTCGTTACGAAAAACAAGCGCTTTATTTTTATCGCGAATTGTCCGCATGCTAAGGCTTTCTTCTCTACATATATAGATGTTGTTACGCATGTACATTCCATAAGTGTGTATGCGGCCCGAATTAATCCTGAACCATGCGTTCTCGCACGGATGTTAAGGTCTCAGAGAAGCAACAAAAACAAATTTTATAGCCGTTCATTTTATGGTCTCGCCGAGTTAATAAATCGAGTAATGGCTAAACTTCCAGCACAATCACTCACGGCGCTTCCTTTCGACCCGATTTTTGCGGATTGATAAAAACTCGCATATGCAGCACATGACATGCATCTTGATAAGAAATATTAATGAGGTTATATATAAACGTGTTTGTTTTTTAATTTATACATTATTGGAGCACACATGTAATAATGAATACGCGTAGCGTGTTTTAGAACCATCAAATATTTTTTAAAAATATATACATATATAAGTATTGATTTTTTAAGGAGGACTTTGTTGATCGTTATCATTAAATGTTACCATTTATTGCAAGGCTTTAATTTTTAATATTAAATATTTTAACAACATAAAGTTAAAAATAAATTTTTTTATATAAAAGCTAATTGAAATTAGTCGAGAAATCAAAGTTAAATTTGTCAAACCTGTTGTTTTTAAATATTACATAACTTTTCTTAGCATACCTTTCAGTTGCTGTCGTTAAAAGCACAGTTCTCTGTCACATCTTATAAACACAGTTCTCTGTCACATCTTATAAACACAGTTCTCTGTCACATCTTATACAATTTTTCTAAAGGGCAAGAAGCTATAAATATATATACATATATATCGTGAATATATGACAATATACCTAATCTTCCATTTTACTTTTATTGTGCACTATTTTATTACATTACCGTCACTTCAATACTTCAATCAATATTTTAACAAACATGAATAAACATGAATAAACTAATAATACATCAAGGCTGGTTCTTCGAACAGAATATCGATCACGTCATAAAAATATAGCGTAATTGTTTGCATTTTAATTGCATTAAATCGCGCGCTTCGCTATTCAATGCCATTTTCAAATGCCTTTCATTTATTTATAAAAGGACAGAAGCTTCCTATTAATGTATCACAAATAGCACAATTGCACACGTTCGATAAACCACACGTCGGTTTAACTGATATCTTCATTCATTGATGCGGTTGGCCATTAAAACGGTTGAAGCCGTGATGCGTGAATGAGACGCGTGGTTTCTGGATTATTTGTTGAGCATAGAGATAATAAAAGTGTGTGTTTAAATGTTTAAATCACATTTATGGTCTCTTAATTAAATCATATTGCAGAAAAGAATCAACATAGGAAAAAAAAAAAAAAAACTGCAATTTTCTCGTCTATTTTACGCTCTGCGAAAAAAAATAAAACTTTTTGATTGCTTTTTGCAGATCTCTTTTCAATTTTTAACTATCCCTTTCTGCTTGTATTTTATAATCGTTTAATCGTTTAATCGTTTGTAAACCGTAAATTAAAAACTGAGGAATCCATCCATAAAAGGGAAAAATTTAATAAAAATGTAATAAATTATGAAAATTATTAATTACATAATTCCATGTTTAATGCTTTACTTTATGCTTACATAAACATATTTCTAATTATAATTTTACATTTAAAATGGATTTTATATGTAAAATACGTAGTTATATGTTTGAAAATCTTTTTGTGCAATAATGTAAAAAAATATGAAATTCTTAAACTCGTTTCAAGTTTTAAGTCTTTTTTTTAATAGTATTATTATTTGTACTTCTTTTTAGGATGAACTCTTTCAGTTGACTGTGAACTTTTCTCTTTTTTTGACAACTCATTTTATATTACAAATCGACATCAGTGACCTTTATCCTTAGACCACCAATTCTATCACAAATGGGCTTTGCTCACCGATCCGGATGACGTCGCCGGTGGACCAAAGGGTTATCTAAAATGCGATATAAGCGTCATTGGTAAGGGCGATACTGTGAAAATCCCTCCGAAAAGCGAGAAGGACGAGGATGACATCGAGGGCAATTTATTGCTGCCGGATGGTGTGCCAATCGAGAGGCAACGCGCGAAATTTGTAGTGAAGATTTATAGAGCTGACGGCTTACCGAAAATGAACAGCAGTATTATGGCGAACGTAAAGAAGGCTTTCACAGGGGAAGTGAAGGACCTGGTGGATCCATATGTACATGTGTCCTTTGCTGGACTCAGCGTAAGATCAAACTTCATAAATGTTTATGACTGATTAAGTAAAAAGAAAAAAAAATAGACTTATAAGATCGATAAAATTTATTTTTATAAATGATAAATCCGTAGCGTAAAAATTTCTTTTACAAAGTTAATGATGTTAATTAAAAGTTTTAAATACACTACTTTAATTTGCTGCTGTAGAGAAATATATAATAAAAAATTATATTTCTTTATTTTTTGAATTTAGCAATAATTTATTCCAGCATAAAATTGTTTTCGAAAATACATTTGCTCGAACAGTAAATGTAATTTCGGATTAAACGCAACCGTGCTTAATGAAATGCAGTAAATATCATGAAAGCGGACTAGTACTTTTCTGTTTATGGCATTTCAGGGAAAAACCAGCGTAAAGAGGCACAGTTACGCTCCGGTATGGAACGAGCAGATAGTTTTCAGCGAAATGTTTCCCCCTCTCTGTCAGAGGATAAAAATACAATTATGCGATAACGATCCGGTGCACGCCACCGTGATTGGTACACATTTTGTGGATCTAAAACAGATCAGTAATGACGGGGAAAAAGGATTTCTGCCGACCTTCGGTCCGGCGTTTATCCATCTTTACGGCAGCATTAGAGATTACAGTCTCATAGATGAACATTCAACATTAAACTCCGGTTTAGGCGAGGGAATCTCATATAGAGCAAGGTTATAACATTATTTATATGTTTGATAAAAAAACGTATTAATTACATTGTAAATATTATATAGATAATTAATTAATATCATTATATAGATAATTAATTTGATACTCTTTGATACCAACGTGAATTTTTTACAAGAAACTAATTTGTGATAACTCTCTTTCTCTCGATTGTTGTTCACGTTTAGGCTACTGATAGCAATACGCACCGAGATCACCGACAACGTGGAAATGGCACCGTCGGAAGTCGAGGTGGAGCCGACTGTACCGATCAATGAAACCGCCTATGCGAGAAACGAGGAGTTTTTCCTGTTTGCCACGATTATGGATGCGACGATGATTGACAAAAAGCTGGGCGACAAACCGATGTACTTCGAAATATCGATTGGCAACGCGGGCAACGCTCTCGACGGTCACAACGAGAGTTCCAAGGTAAAGAATCTTAAATTAATTATCAATTTCCTCAAGGAATTTCTCGTCAAAACAATTTTTGCAACACTTTATCTTAAACTCTTAATTAAAAAAAAACAAGGGGAGAAAGCCGAGAGAACGTTTCGTGAGGAAATTAATTTTTCCTCCCGGAAGTGAAATATGTTTGACGTGCGTAGATGTACGATGCGTCGAGGGGTGGAATGAGCGGTGAAGAGGAAGATCTGCAGGAAATACTCGCTGGATCCTGGCAGAGCACCACGCCGTCTAGCAAGCCAATGACGCACGATAAGATTTATTATTTCCTACCGTACTGGGATGACAAGCCGTCTCTTCACGTGAGAAGTATATGGCCGGATTATAGACGCAGGATGTACAACAGCAATATCATCGGCAAGATCGTCGATAAGCTGGTTAGCTTGCGGATTGAACTAATTGGAACTATCACGAGTCTTATAATCTCGAAGATAATTTTGATCAGACACAAGTGTTTGATCTTCAAACAACGCCGCAAATTAATTATCAAAATTAATTGTCACATGAATTATTGAAGAATGATAAATATTCATTATTTGATTAAAATCGTCGGAAATTAAAAAAAATAATTATTAGTTTCATTCTAGAAAATTGAACCGCTTATCCGACGTTTCAAGTGCGCAAATACTCAACTTTACTTTCACAGAATCACTCTCGTAAGGAAATGTATTTACACGATATCCTGATATCTATGTTCCCAAGAGAGCTGCATTCTTGATAAAAGACTGTTATCTGATCAAAGCAAAGGGATGAAAACAAATTTCAATTTGTCGGCAAACGGATTTGCATGAAATCGATAACTTGCTTTCCTTCCGTATTCCAGGAAGAAGGATTATCGGAGGTGCAATTGCACTTAGAGGATTCGACGTGTGAGAAACTTTTGAAGAGCACTCTGGAAGAACTGAGCGCGAACTGCAACCGATACGTCAGCATCAGCAAGTCCAGCGTGACCGGTCCGGGTGTCGGGAAGACGAAGCTGGACAAAGAGCGTACGAAATTGTGCCAACGGGAGCTGGAAAATATCGGGATCTTGTCGCGCAATCTCAAAGCGCTCGTGACTAAAAGCAGCTTCAAGGAGAGATTGAAGACAGCGCACAGCTATCTGCAGAAATTAAAGTTTCTCGTCGAGGATGTCAGTAGCTGTTATCCAAACGCATACCGTGCGTCGCGTGCGCGAAATGTAATTGCGAACTTTTCCCTTGCAGCCGCAAGACTCGCTGCCAGACGTATTCATCTGGGTAATCAGCTCCGGCAGACGAGTGGCGTATCAAAGAATACCCGGTCGCGAATTAATCTACTCGGTAGTCGACGAGGAGTGCGGCCGGCATTGCGGCAAAGTGCAGACTATGTTCCTTAAGGTAGGCGAACGTGATAACTTTTAAGCGCGCAATTTTGCGTTAACATACATATTTTTTTTATCTTAATTAAATATTTATTTATAAAAAAATATATATACTAAATATAGAACTATATTTTTTTTTATATAGAGGTTTTATATAGAGCAGGCCGAGAGAGACTTTCCTCTTTATTATGTATTTATAAAAAATGTCTGCTAAATATAATTCTGTAATATTCTACAATACTTTTAGAAATTTAGTTTTTACGTTGTGATATTCAATTTTAAAAAATGTATGTAATGCATAAATATTTAAGATTAATGCGTGCGTATTTGAAGATTGATTTTTAAATGCCAACAGTTGTTATAACTCTTGCATTGAGTTCATGCATGAAATTCATGTACAGCTTCCAGGTAAAAAAAGATTCGGACCGTCGGGATGGGCGATTCAGACGAAACTACAGATCTACATGTGGTTGGGGATACTGAAGCACAAAAAATATTTTATCCAAGGTTTGCCGAAAGGTTACGAGGTCAGCCACGAGCTGAGGAATGTAGACAGACCTCGTGGTCTGCCGCCCATTATGATTCACTATGTTCAGAAGCACGTATGTATTTTATAATATCTCCCTTTGATCCACATAGCTTTCCAAATAAATACGCTTTTTTCGATATAAATTCTCAGAAATTTCAATTGAGAGCGCACATGTATCAAGCGAGATCATTGATCGGCAGCGACGCGTCCGGCCTTTCCGATCCATTCGCGCGAGTGATCTGTGGTGAATTTTGTAAGTGTACTCAAGTAATCGATGAGACCCTCAGTCCAACGTGGGACGAGCTGCTACTGTTCGATGACATTCTGATTTACGGTACCGCCGAGGAGATCAAGAAGGACCCACCATCCATCGTCATCGAGCTATTCGATCAAGATAAAGTGGTGAGTGAAAAGAGCCCGTTGTGTCTAATTTAATCATTGTTTTTTTTATTTTTCTCTATTATTTATTTATTATAAATATCTTTATGTTAGTTAACTTTAAGAATAAAAACTAGCTGAAAATATATCTAATATACGAAATAGCAGTCACTTTGCAGATCTTTTAAATGTGGCTTTTTTTGTGCGATTTAGTGCAAAATAGAAAATTGCTTAAGAATATTTAGCGCATAAATCGAAGATTCGGAAGAATTCGATATTCAGTTTTGTACTAAATTTAAATTGGAGTTATAAGATCATGCGCGAAATGCTTAAGTAGGCGATATTACCACTTCTATGATTTCATAATCGTTTTTTTTTACAGAGTCATATTATAGCTATGGACGTAACACTGCATGAGGGCTCTGCTTTAACAGTTTGTATATGACATATTGACATTTATACGATACCGAACATAACACGACGCACATACAACACGTACTACTCGCACCGAATGATGAAAAACACGCATGATACGCGCTTGCTGCATGGCACTCTCGTTACACGCGCGTTAGTTAATACAAATGAAGCGGCGAATCCGCAATGTGAGAATCCGTGAGTTATTTCGGAGATTACATGTCTCTCCAACCGGCGAAATTACCAAGAACCTCAATGAAAAGTTACACACACACACACACACACACACACACACACACACACACACACACACAACCGCAAATAACTCTTGCATAGAACTTGGTTCCCTTTACCAAACTCGGTTTCATGCTATTGTGACGAACGGATATAGCTCCGTCTTTTACTGCAAGTGCAATTTGCACGAAGTATCTCCAAGAGCTGGTAAGTCTACATTGTTATTGGAAGGAAAATGTATAAACTTAAATATTGATGAGAATTCTCTTAAATATTTTAAAAAAATTTTTAATAAGTCTACCGTAAAATTTTTTGACTGTTCAATGTTTTAATACAAATAGTTTCTTCCACGTAATCCGATTCGTAACTTGATTAGTTTCTTTCAATCTAACTTATAAATGTTTTGCTTTTTGTATTTTAATTGTATTTTAATTAAATACATTCTTTTTAATCGGAACTTCTAGTCTCAAAAAGTAAAAAAATTGGTCGTATTATGTTGTACAAATTTTATAAATGCGCGGACTTTAAACTTAATTATTTAAACATTACGATAATCATAATATTTTTACCTCAGTTCATTCGAATCACAGGTGTACTATAAATCAGAGATTTCACTCTGTTGCACTTTTTCACAGTGCTAATACATATCCAAGCCATAAATGGATTTAAATCTATCGGGAACACTATCTGCCACCCTTCGTGCAATTTCTTCGCATTTTTATAGCACGATCGACCGGTAAATTTTTATCTTGTTTGCATCGGGATTTCTACGTGACTTTTCAGGGAAAATCGGAATATATCGGCCGTGCGATCGCGCGACCGCACGTCAAGCTCGCCGCCGAGTCCTATACTCCTCCGCAATATCCGCCGTCTTTGGAATGGTATGACGTTACTAGAGGCACCTCGCGGGCAGGCGAGCTTTTGGCGGTCTTCGAATTATTGGAATATCCTTCTACCAAAGACTATGGCTTCCCAACTCTACCGGATCCCAAGGATTTTACCTCCGGATCTCAGGCTCCTGGTTCCGGGCAGGATCAAGGCCCGATTCTTCCAGTGCCCGTGGGAATCCGGCCTACTTTGTCGAAATATCGGTAAACATCAATGATTTTTATATCATTCGCGCGAAGCGCATCGTAAATAAATCGCGAGAGCCTTGTTCTTTCTAAATTTATATTATCTAACAAATAATAAATATACATATATAAAAATTAGATCAATATCTGTGCAGTAAAAAATTTTTATGATTTTTTAAATAAAACGAAAAATGGATTAATATGTAAGTCGTAGGCAAATAAATATAAGCTTATTTGTTTTTATAATCCTCTTAATCAATGACATTTGTATGACATTTTAGAATTGAGGTGCTTTTCTGGGGCTTGCGGGACCTGAAAAGAATCCACTTACTGACCGTGGACAAGCCTCGCGTGGATGTTGAATGCGCCGGTCACATTCTCTATTCATCTGTCATAGCAAACGCGAAGAAGAATCCGAATTTCAACACGCCAATCAAGTTTCTAGAGCTAGAACTTCCCGAGCAAGAGCTTTATCGACCGCCATTGACTATAAGAGCGGTAGATTGTCGGAGCTTTGGCAGATACACTCTCGTAGGCACTCATACTATCAATTCGATTCACAAATACATGTACTCCCCTTTGACCAAAAGGGCAAAGGACGCCCAAGAGAGGAAGAAGAGCTTATATCAGCTGCAATGCACGGGTAATTACATAATGAAACAAAGCTTTGAAAGTGCTTTGTGCCGCCACGAATAGAACTTTGCAATAAATAAAAAATTTAATTTGATGCACGATTAATATAAATATATTGCTATTAATTTACTAAAATAATTAAAATATAATTTAATTGTTGCCGAATAACAATAATTATTATTATCTTAATTGATTCAAATATAAACTCTTTATTAATCATAAATTATTTTGTTTATTATAATGCTCTATCACGATATTAGCTATATAAATATAAATTGTCATTGTCTAGTAAAATTCTGGAATTAAATTAATTTTCTTAAGTTATTTGTTTGTAGATTAGATCGATACATGTTATTCTCATAAGCAAGAAAAAAGAGCGTTTTTCAAAAGCTTGATCTGTTTGATGTAGCTCTCGATCAATCTAAGTCGAAATGTCAACAAATATCATTGCCTGAACCGTTTACTGACATGGAATCTAACAATGGTGATACCACCATCACTCTCGGGTTCGATCTGGCAGGTCCTACGAAGAAGGACAAAACGGAGCAAAATTTGCGCAGAAAACAGAGCTTGGTTAAAGACAGCAGCATGGGTACGTTTGTGAGAATTGTATTTAATCGTTTATTTAATTAAGATCAGCATATATTTATCTTATTAATGTTTAGATATTTAAATATTTGAAAAAAAAACAAGGAAATATATTACAACATTCATCGCACCATTAAATTTTTTAAGACAATGCATCGTATATAACTGTCACAAAATAAAATTTCTAAGTATTTAACAAGATAAAAATTATAGTAAATAAACGTATTAACAACATGCATTTTTTTGTAACATTTTATTCAAATCTAAGTACAAAATGTATAAAATAAATCTTACATTTCTAGGCGATTTAAGTGCGTTAGAGGACGGAGACGGCTGTCAAGACTGGTGGACAAAGTATTTCGCGTCTGTGGAGACGATGATCGAAGAGAACAAGGAGTTGCGCAAGGAGAAATCTATATTGCAAAATCAGCCGAACGGATCGCTACCGATGTTCCTGGAACCCGTCGCACCCGTCGCACAAAATCAACTGGCCGCTTCAGGCGAGAAGACCCCTGGGAATAATCCTACAAAGAAGTTATTTGGCCTGAAATCACCGGCGAACGCGGCGAAATTCGTTTCGAAACTCAGCCCGAAGCAAACGCAGCGCAAGTCCAGGAAGACCGCGCTCTTAAAGATCTATCCTGGCGAACTGGAAGCGCAACCTGAGTTCGAACAGTTCAAGGAATGGTTGCACACCTTCGAATTGTATCGCGGTAAAAAAACCGGCGATGAGACCGAGGACGAATCCAGAATCGTGGGCAACTTTAAAGGCGCGCTGAAGGTTTACAAGTGGCCGTTGCCCAAGGACCTTGTAGACCACACAGTGATGGGTTTTGACCCGCAGTACGGGTTTTTTCAAGGTGTCCCATCGAACGAGCCTATTCACGTTCTGGTACGAGTGTACATTGTCAAGGCTAACGATCTTCATCCTTGCGACTTAAATGGAAAAGCGGATCCCTACGTGGTCCTGCAGCTGGGTGGCAAAAGAATCAGCGACAAAGAAAACTATGTGTCGAAACAACTGAATCCTGTCTTTGGAAAGTACGTATTTCATGTGCATTTAGAATAATAACATGTTATCACGATTACAGATTTTATCAGAAATTTTATTTTTAGCAATAGATAAAATAAAATAAAGACACATTTTATTTATTTTTAAATTTGAATTTTAATTAATTCTGTGTTTTAAGAAGATTAAATTTTTGTAGAAATTTTATCGATAGATTTTTGTTATACGATTGTAATTGTATCGCAATAAAGTATATTATTTATTTCTATAATGTTTTACGCAAGCGTTAACAAACGCTATTTTTGTTTTTTGAATGTATTTTTATACACGGAGAAAATTTTATATCAAAAATTACTATGTATGGTAGTAGCTGCGGACCATGAAGGAATTATAAAAATTTTTACTATTGTAGGGATAAAATGCAGGCCAGAGATCACACCCTTTTAAAGAATTAAAAGTTATAATTCGGTCCAATAAGTATAAAAAAAAATACATTAAATAATGTTCTCGATTTGTATATAACGCTCGCTATGACTCGCAATACTTTATTTATCTCACTTTTCGCTATCTCACAGGCAATTCTCATGTCTTATTTGCTCGCGCTCGACTCTGTGTGTTCTCGCTTGCTCGAGACACCCGTTTTATAGGCGAAGCGCCGAAAACGCTTCGCTGTCGTTTAAAAGAAAAACATTACCAACGGTCTTAACGGCCGCTGCAAGGAGAGCAACACATTACAATAAGGATGAATATATACGAAATGAGAGGAATATAAAAACTCCCACACTATGTTTTTCACTATGTAAAACATAATAAAAATTTTCTGTTCGCGGCTTCATGGTCCGCGGTTAATGCCGTACAGTAATTTTTGATATAAAATTTTCTCCGTATATGTTTCTTATATGTGTATAGTTTAATTAATTATTTAAAAAAGACTAAAAATTACACTTTGTAACGTGTTTAAGGTGTTTCGAGATTGAGGCAACGTTTCCGCAGGATTCTCTACTTACTGTGCAAGTCATAGATTGGGATTTAGTTGGAACGGACGATATGATCGGCGAGACCAAGATCGACCTGGAAAATCGTTTCTACAGTAGACATCGTGCTACGTGCGGGCTCGCAAAAAAATACGACGAGTGAGTGTAACAAGTAGTAATTACTGCAACGTGCGCGACCAAATAAATTCCGATCTCGAAATAAAACACAAGTTGTGTCACGCAATTCAGTAATCAAACAACAGAGCGACTCTTATCCCATCAGCAGTAACCATTTATTTAAACTTAATAAATCTTTGAAGGACAAAATACTGCGCACCTACTTTTAACAAACTTTTTTTTCTGAACTTACAACTGTTTCTATAACAATTCCCTTTAAACTATCACGCACTTATGCTACACTCTCGTTTAAGATCTTTCTTTAATTCTCGCGTGTGTTATTTTCACATTAACTTTATTAGCGGCACATATATTTTCTACGCTGTGAAAAAAATTGTTATATTTTTATTTTAAAATCACGTTTATGTTAACATGCCAGATAAGAAAATCAAGTGCGAGAACACAAATAGTTTCTGACTGATTGTTTAGATTTTACACATTACTTCTGTTCCAGATCTGGATACAACAAATGGAGAGACGCGATGAAGCCAACTCAGATACTTTTGAAGTTATGCAAAGATGGCAAAATCGATGGACCAGTATATTCACACGGACATGTTACAATCGGCAGAAAAACATTCTCTCTCTCACCTGAGGATATGGAATTTTATGTACACACGAAAGGTATGCGATATTTCAATCTCATATTTCAATATTGAAATATGTAAATTAAATATGTACACATAATTAATATATTTTGACACAGTATTTATGTGTTTTTAATTAATGCCTATTAAATTTATTACAAGAAAAAAATAAGAGAATTATATAATTTATAAAAAAAATAGACACATCTTAAAAGTAAGCTTTTGATCCAAATAAAACTTTGCACATATTATAATGATTTATTTAAGAAAATATTAAATATTATAGACATATTTTGTACAGCTAAATATCACGTATCTGGAATTATTTTATCAATACAACACTTTTGATAAACAGTGTATTTATTTCTATTGGGGGATTTATATGATTAATAAAACTTAGAAATACACAATTTCGTTTTCGTATCAAAATATATTTTATCACACAAAATATCTTCTCCGATTACTTCTCTAGGAATGGAAGAACATCTCGCTTTAGCAGTTCTCCACCAGTGGAATGCCTTCCCACGGATCGGTTGTACTTTGGTACCCGAGCACGTGGAAACTCGACCACTCTACAATCCTGAAAAACCTGGAATTGAACAGGGAAAATTGGAAATGTGGGTGGACATGTTCCCAATGGACATGCCTTCGCCCGGACCATGCATCGATATTTCACCCAGAAAGCCCAAGAGTTACGAATTGAGAGTTATTATATGGAATACGGACGACGTCGTTTTGGAAGACGATGCTTTCTTCACCGGTGAAAAGATGAGCGACATTTATGTAAAAGGGTAAGTTTTTCTTATCTTGAAAAACAGAAAATTTTCTCATCGAAAAAAAAAGTTATCTTTATCAAAAATTTATTTTCCAAAATCATTTCTGACAATTAATAAATAATTGTGCTACTCAAAATTTCAAACTAGAATTAATTAAATTTATTATATAAATATATTTTTTTGGAAGATACAAGTCCATTATTTCAAAATTGTTGTTACCAACAGATGTTATACCAACAGATACGATTGATTAATATTGATACTTTAGTTAAATTCAATTTTTTAGAATTTACTCAGAACACACATTGTCATTTTATGTATACTCTGAAATTATTTAATAGATGGCTAAAAGGACCAGAAGATTGTCAATCCACCGATATTCATTACCGGTCGTTGACGGGCGAAGGAAACTTTAACTGGCGCATCATATTTCCATTCGATTATTTGGTAGCGGAAGAGAAGATCGTTATTAATCGCAAAGAAAGTCTGTTTAGTTGGGACGAAACCGAGTGTAAAATACCAGCACGTCTAGAATTACAAGTAATATTAAACATACATGCACAATTGTTATTTTCCACTTCGTTCTGATAGATAAAAGTGACATTTTTTAAAGGTCTGGGACGCGGACCATTTCTCCGCGGACGATTTTCTGGGCGCGATAACCCTTGATCTCAATCGGTTTCCCCGAGGTGCGAAGAATAGCAAGCTCTGCTCGCTAAGCATGTTGAAGACCGATGGCTCTGTGCCGATGGTCAACATCTTCAAACAGAAACGTATAAAGGGCTGGTGGCCGTTTTATGTGAAGAAAGAGAATGAGGATATGGAACTGACGGTAAAATAAAGACATGAATATAGATATATACATATATTTACATAATAATATATATATATTTACAGTATTTCATTTACATATAGTAAAAATAAACTTATTTAATTATTAAACATTAGCTTATATTTTAATAACATTTCATTATTTCACACAGGGTAAGGTTGAGGCTGAGATACATTTGCTCACGAAAGAAGAGGCCGAAAAAAATCCCGCTGGTTTTGGTAGAAACGAGCCAGATCCATTGGACAAGCCAAAGTCAGTATAATGAAACGGCACAATACTTTTGTATTTAATAAGTTTAATTTTTTTAATATTTTTAATAATTTTCTTTTTGCAGTCGACCGGACGCATCATTCATGTGGTTCCTCAATCCGCTGAAGTCTATCAAGTACATAGTCTGGCACAATTACAAATGGGCTATCCTGAAGGCTATAGTCGCGATTGGATTGCTTGTACTTTTGCTTTTGTTCTTCTACGCGATACCAGGTTACTCGGTGAAAAAAATCTTGGGAGCTTAAAAGTGCCACTCGTTGCAATATACATATATTGCCATCTTTGGCACATAGAGAACAATTCTAAGATAAATGTAATCGTGTTGCTGTATTGTTACGTTTTACGAAATCGATGTAAATTAGCATTTTTATCGAATTAATTTCTTTAATTTCTCTCCAGTGTCATATTGACTCGCAAAAATTAAAAATTTTTTTAGCGATAAAATAGATAAAATAGATATCTACAAGCGGAGCCTCAGTAGAGCTAAAGAATATATACAGGGTGTTTCCGAGCGAACTTTTAAAGACTGTAACTGAGAAAAACTCTGTATAAAATAAGTGAAATGTTTTTTTGAAGAAATAGAAATCGTTTATCTTACACTATTTCACATTATACATATAATTGTTAGAAACAATTATTATTTTTAATAATTTTCATACACATCACACAAAATCATCTACAATTTACACATAAGAAATAATCTCTTGTTCTAACAATTATATGTATATATATAATATAATTGTTAGGACAAGAGATTATTTCTTATGTGCAAACTGTAGATGATTTTAAGTTATTTTATCTCTATCATTCCCATGATGTAGCTTATATTAGTTAAAGAAAAATATCTTAATTCGATCAGCTCATAATGGACCAACATGACATCACAACAGTTGCAAACTATGATTACATTGTAAATAATTAATGTACAAGTTGACGCAAAAAGAAATTAAAACTGACTTAAAAAACTAAAAGTAACTAAAACTAAAGTTGAAAAAAACAGAGAGAAACATATTTACAGCAGAGTAGCGGCTTGTATAAAAAATGATCTATTTTTACTCATACAATATTCTGTCACAGCGTTGTGTTTCGCGGGCGAAAACACAAAAAGATCACTCGACTATTCTCCATTGTTATCAGATTGCTCATTATATATTAAGAAAGAAATATATATATGTGTGTAAAAAAAAAGATGAATATTAAAAACCCGAGAGAAAAATGTATAATAAATGACTTTATTGTTCTGTAGACAACACTGAAAATTTATTAACTGTGAGCGGTACCTCAATCTCTTCGCTCGATTCTGCTGAGGCATCTTCAGAAGAACCTTGCTTTCCGCTGTAGGTTGCATCCTCTTCCGAAGAAATGTATTCTGACGGCGTATTGGATTCCTCTTCTTGATTTCTAGCTTGGATCCATTTTACAGTTTCAAAATCTGCGTGAGTTGCCCATTTTTCTGTAAAGAATATCACATTAACATCACTTGTTTACTTCTTTGTTATTAAAATACAATTTTCCAAATCATTTTACGAATATCTTGATCAATGAGAAAAAATAAATAGATACCTTTATTAACACTCCACTTCGGTGGATATATGTACAAGCAGATCTTTCCTTCTAACGCCATTCGTAACAATGAATTCGCCGCTCTATACGTGTCCAATCTAGCCGCTCGGGCTGTCTTGAAATCTCTTTTGATAGCCCAGCCGTCGCAAATGTCCATAGCAGACCATATATCATCGTTCTCCGGATGTGGAATTCTCAACAATTTCGGCAAATCTAGCCTTTCAGCCATAAACTTTATAGTCGTGTACGGTTCTCTTACTTGAGCGATTGGGAACGAGCCCATTAATATCTGTAATTGTTTCGGAACAGTTGAAGGAAACACTAAACCGGGACAATCGCACAGGCACACATTCTTTGTAAGAAAAATGGTTTGAAAGTGTTTTGTGTGGCCTGGTGTGCGGGAAACGCTCACAACTTTCTTGCCTGTAAAACAATCAGATATTAGATGTTAGTATTTCTCGTTTAACATCATAAATGTGACTAATTTTATCGCAGGTTTAAAATCAAACCATCACATTTATCTTTAAATGTAAAAAATATATAAAAAATAACTCGTAATAATAAATTTAATATTCAAATGTTCTAGCGTACCCATCAATGCATTCATCAACGATGACTTTCCGACATTCGGCGTTCCAATGCACCCAATGGTCAGAACTCCATTCTTATATCTTTCATGCTGGAAATAAGTGGTGTCCTCTTTTTCTATAGTGACAGTATCCTTGTGATCTATGTCGTCTAAATCGTACTCTAAATGCATTTCCTCCTGAATCTTTTCGTGCCAGGAGCTCAGATCGACTCTGTCGCCAACGATATTTCTACAAGCCTCCAATAACTTTTGCGCTCCTTCTGCGGCCATTCTCAGCTTTCCCCTTCGACGTCTATTATTTTGACCCTCCTCGTTGCTTACATTACCACGGAGATTATAAGTAGGATACGATGTGAACATTAAAATGTGCAATTTTGGATATTGACTGTGGAAATACTCCTTCCAAGCCACCACCAAGGATGCTGGCGCTAGATCAACCTTGTTTAATACCAAAATCATGTCTTTCTGCAATTTGTTCGTCACATAGTCGTACAGATACGGGGGAAACATTAAAACCGGATATCGGATATCGACAATGATCAGCAGGACATCCGATATCTCCAAGACTCTCCACAATTGTCGCCAGGTTTCTAAATTCAATTCAAAATAACTCAAACTTAATTCCTCCATGTTGTTCAAGTATTCCTAAAATTAAAAAAAAAAAAAACATTAGATAATGACACAATAGGCTACATTGTTGTCTACTGCAAAATTACAAATACGTACTGTAAAGTATCTCTGTTCTCTTATCTCTAACTGCTCCTTCGTCATGTCAAAATTCCATGCAGGCCGCTTCGGCATATCAATCCCAGGTGGAAAATAATTGTCGGAAATTTCTTGAGCCTTGATACTCACAGACTTAATACTTTTTAAGGCTTGTTCCTTGCGTTTTCGTAGTTCCTCCTTGGACTCTTGGAAGAATTGTAGTGCATACCTATTCCTTGAGGATTTGCAATCCTCTGTTGGTTGTTTATTTATCTTTTGCACTTGCCTCTCATGAACCATATGATTTTCATTGCTGAAGCACGCTTCATCATCACCATAGTCTTGATTCGTTGCTAGACACAAACATGAATATTATATTATGCTTATTTTTCACAAAAATAATCATAAATTGTAATGAGAATATTCTCTTATTGCAATATAACTTAATGAAAGCAAAATATAAGAAGAAACATGTATATATTATCTACAAATATAATTATAAAATCAAATAATTATTAAAACAAAAATTTTAATTAAATTATTAAAATAATTATATTATTAAGTTATTAAGTTTATTATCTATAAAATAATTATATTATTATATTATTAAGTTTATTATCTACAAATTCGTAAATCTGTCTGATAAAGAAAAATAAAGATGTGAAATAAATAATCAATTAAGATGTGAAATAAATAATCAATTAAGATGTAAAATAAATAATCAATTAATTCCCAGAAGATTCGGGAATTTTCTTTAACTTTTTGGGAAATTTCCATTGAGCCAGGGAAGGTTCGAAAATTTTACCTGACTCGACCTTTTTGGCAAATTCCTAGAAGGGGCGGAAATGTTACCTGACTCGATGGAAAATTCCCGAAAGGTTCCCTTCTAGAAATTTGCCAAAAAGGCCGAGTCAGGTAAAATTCCCGAACCTTCCCTGGCTCAATGGAAATTTCCCAAAAAGTTAAAGAAAATTCTCGAATCTTTCATCTCGAATCTTGCATTTTACCTGACTCGATGGAAAATTCCCAAAAGATTCGGGAATTTTCCCGGGACTTCGAACTATAATTAAAGTAATCGAACAATTTTTTGTTCAAATAAAGAAAATTATTATCTGTTTGGACTGAAAAATTTATCATTTAAGGAGAAAAAGATAAACCATATCATAGATGTTATACAATTTTACAGATAACAATTGAAAAATGATAAAACTATATATATCACAAATACGTCTTATTTCAAACTTTTCAAGTTGCATTAAATTTTTAATAAACATTAATATGTTAATACATACTAAGTAAAGTTCGTTGCCGCTGTTTTTTAGCTTGCATCTGCACCTTCTTGGCTTTCCCGCTGAATGGAACCTTTCGTCTTCCCTGAGGCATGTTTGCACAATTCCACTTAAATACTTATTGCAGACTTCAAATATCAATTAAATGTAGTCTTTTTTACACTCAATTACAATATCACTGTCTTTATGCCGTCAATCAGAGCGATCTCAACATCTGCGCGTCTCATTCACAACTGACTCACGATTCCCAACCTATCTACCACTAAGTTGCTCCAACATGCAGCGCAGCGATCCATTTACTCGCCGAGCGCAGACGAAGAGTAGTGGGAGTGGCGTGATCAGCTGACCAAACGTAAAGCTTCGTTTGAATGACTTATGAATAAAAACATATCCAATCTGATTACACAAACGTACAATACATTCACACAGAAAAACCGATGAGTCATGTGTGTAACGAAAAAAATGCAGCAATGTAAAATACCTTGCATTAAATATGTAAATCAATCGACTTATCTACATCACTACGCAAGTCGTCTGAATACAACTTTAGCATCACGTGTTCTCGTTCGCACGTGCATCACGTGCCGTAATGCGCATGCGCGAGCGCACATTTGTCCCCTCGTACACCTTCTGTACTCATTTATTTCTTCTCTCCCTTCCTCTCTTTCTCACCAAATAAAATGAACGGACACGTGTCTCATTCTTACAATCGGTTTTGATAAACACTGAAAGTACATACAAGACTACGGAGAACTACGGAAAACTGAAGAAGGGGGTAGAAAAGGTACTAGAAGGAATGACTGTACACGGGCATCTATATACATGCATCTGAACCGTTGTAACGTCGTCTTCTCGGTAGCGTTAGTGAACACGTAATCTTGAGTGACACGCGTTGTGTGTGTTTTTTCAACCGGCAGTTATACAAGTCACTGATCATGTTTCCTACGATAGACAAGACGTTCTATCAAAATGTAGAGGAACATAAGTTTCCGAGACTCAACATGCGGTGGAACAGATACGTCGACTGTTTGACTTATTTGACGGAAACCTATGGTCTTCGTATGGCAGTAAGGATAATGGCTCACGAAGGTCAATTGATGAATCATTTAATGAACAATCAGGACATGCAGTGAGTATGCTCATACAGATTTACATTTTGTGTGGAAAGCGTTGAAGTCGCGTTTCGTGACGAACTTCTGAATGTTATTTTTTTTAACCGTAAACAATGAAAAATACGCCGTCGCGTTAATTTAGCTTGAACAAAATCGAATTTTTTCACGCTATCTAATCAGCTGACTAATCATAATACACACACACAGACACACACGTGCTTGTGTGTAAATTAAACACATGTAAATTAAATTCTGAATTCTTCCATTGGCTATTCTACTCGATTTTATATACTAATATGCTCGTACATAATATGGTCTTCATTTATATTGCAGCGATTCTATAACGCAGTGGTTACAATACAATTACAATCTAATAGACAAAAAGAAACACAAAAAAGATCTGGATGTCTCGATAGCTCACAAGTTAACTGGGAACCAAGAGTTTCAGGCGAAAAATTATGCTGCATCTCTGGAATCATATACAAAAAGCGCAATATTTGCTCCATTAGATAGTGAAGAGTTGTCGATAGCAATTGGAAATAGATCAGCCTCTCTGTTCCAATTGAACAGATTGGTGGTAAGTGATACACCTATGGCTTTTACACTAAATGATTTACACCAATCATAGAAGCAGATTTAGTACGAATATAGTATTTGCGCATGCAATATAGTATACGGATGCTAAACAATCGGTGTAAACTATGCCTATAGATTATATATAGAAGATTGTTATATACAGTTTTTTATACCTTTTATAATTGTTACAAGATATTTCTTTAGTACACAGTTTATTTCGCCTGCAATAGTTGTGAGAAGAGAGTTTTTCCTTAATTACTTCTCTTTTTTGTTATACAATTTAATCATTTGCATGTGATTTGTCATAGTATTATTAAAAATTTATTAAACTTTTCTCATAGAATGTAAAGTGACTATTATATTTATGAATGCAATAATTTATACTTTTTGCAATGCAAAGGACTGCATCAAAGATATCAAATTGGCGTTAAAATTTAATTATCCTGACCATTTACGCCACAAGCTGTATCTGCGTGAGGCTGAGTGTTATTTAAAATTAGGTGAAAGAATACCAGCCATTGAAGCTGTTATTAAAGCACGTGCTGTGGTATCTATGTTTAAATCATGTAAAAACAAAGGCAAGTATTCATCTTATATATCTAATGGAATATTTTATTGAAAAACGCGAAAAAAATTGCTATCTTTTCGAGAAAAACACATTTAAGGTTTCGGATGAGAGACGAAAAAGTGAAAGTAAAAGTTCTATGGATCTTTTGTTCCTACGTCAGATTTTATGGTATTGTGTCAACATAAAGTCAGGTATTGTAATTTACTAGGCAGTAAAATCTAGAGTAAAAAAAAATGCCTGCGCGATAGGTGGTCTTCTACGTGACCGAACCTTAATTTTCGTCGTCGACTTTAGTTCAAGCCATCTTTTGTATTTTAAAATCTAAAAATTGAAGTAAAAAAAATTTTGTTTTTTTAAATTCTATGATAGAATATCTCCATAAAAAAATATATTTGTAGTATTATGGTTTGCTAGACAATAAAATCGAGGACAAAAAAAAATTACTGCGCGATAGGTAGCTTCTATCTGAACTTAGGTAGTATTTTAGTTTGCTAGGCAATAAAGTCAGAAGTAAAAAGGAAAAATGCTTGCACGATCCTTATCGGGATCGTGGCCTGACTTTAGTTTTCATTTTAAGCCGTCTTGTATTTTAAAAAGACGTTGAAGAAAAACACCGATTTTAAAACTTACTTTACAATTCTCAAAAAATTTGATTTTTAAAATCAAAGGCTAGAATCGTAAATATTATTTTCTTTAAGAAATTTATTTTTGATACTAAAAATTAAAGAATTAAAAAAAAAAATTTTTTTTTAAGTTCTACAATAGAATATCTCTAGAAAAATATAGTATTTATATCTTTCATATTTTAATTAATAATCATTGAAAATTTTAGAACAATTGCAAAAGAAATTGAATGAAGTAAGGTCAAAGGCATCACAATTAAAGGATGATGCAGATGATGCAGATGATGCAGATGATGAAAATACTGCCAACACTACAAATACTACAGAATTTTCACAGCCTCAATTCGCATTCGGTGAAAATCCGGACTTCCAGTTTGCATCGGCAGCTGTATCATTAGATGAGACATTGTCAAAAGGTAGACACGTCGTGGCAAATAGAGACATTAAAAAGGGACAAGTTCTTTTCATTGAAAAGGCTTTCGCCTTTGTTCCATTGAACATTTACGAAATGAATCATGTCTGTCACCATTGTTGTCGCACAATCACTGCAGAAGTTTGTACACCGTAAGTTTTCTATTTTCTTTTCTTTACTCTTTTGATAAATGACTGCAAACTAAACATTATCTATGTTCCATTATGCAGATGTACGACTTGTATCGATGTTTTATACTGCGACTTGGAATGTTTGGAAAAGGCACGTCCATATCATCGCTGGGAATGTCTCGGCTATCAATTGTGTATCTGGTCTCAGATCGGAATAGCATATTTGGCCTTGAAAATGTTATTCATCAGTGTACTTACGACCGATATTGACAAATTTAACGACGTACAAGTGCTAATGACTAATTTTGACCAAGCTAATCCAAGCGATACTATTTCATATGCACTCGTAAGTCACATTATTTTTCGCAACGATAAAATTTTGCGTAATGTGCGCACATAGAAAATTAGATTACAGAACCTGTTTACTTTATTTCTTTCAGACAGCAAGTTTGCTTACGCATTATCTTTCGGGTTATACTGACTTTTTCGAAAGTGTCAATCTTAAAGAATGCCTAGCATCGAAGTTCACTGATGAGCACGATGGATTCTCTGCCACCTATAATCTCGATAGAACGTGCCATCAACGATTGTTTGTGGGCTCTCTACTATTGAAGTACATATTACAGCTTGTTGCTAATGGGTACGCTATTACAAAGATAAACACGACATTGATACCAGATTCATGTTTGCGCGTCCAGCAACAAGATAGAATAGCAACAGCAATTTATCCTACTGCAAGCTTCATGAATCACTCGTGTAATCCTAATGTAATAAATAGGTAATATATAGATATCTTAAATAATGAAAGAATTGTTTATTATATATATATATATATAATTATAAGATACATCCTACTATTTAAATAATAATTTAATGCTATTATCTTTTAGCTTCATGGACGACGTTTTAATAGTGAAAGCTGTACGTGACATTAAAGAGAATGAAGAAATTGTACATTGTTATGGTACGTTAACAGTTACTAACAATTTTAATTATATTTTATTCTCTAAATTTATATTTTACTTTTGTCATTGACAGGACCTGATTTTAGAAGAATGCCAAGATCAGAGAGACAGGAACGATTAAAAAGTCAATATTGTTTTAAATGTTCTTGTAACGCATGCACCAGTCCAGAATATAAATTTTTCTTGGTAAATTATTGATTCTTTTTGTTTATTTGATATATTATAACATTTGGTATATTATTATATTAAGAAACTTGTTAATTTATTTGTAGGAAAAATTCAGCGCGTTAAAGTGCCCAGAATGCAGCGGACCATTGCGTGATGCTGACTCTCAATTTTCCTGTATGGATTGTGGAAAAGTATTCAAAGAAATTAATTATGGGCTCTCTTTAGGACAAGCTAAAATGTTTTTTGATGAAGGAGTAACTTTCTTAAACAATAATCAGTACCCAGAAGCGATAAATAAATTCATGCAATGTTTGTCGATTAGAAGAGAAATATTATACAAACTTCACAATGACATTACCAAAACCTTCGATTATATTGCAAGAGTATATGCTAAAGCAGGTTTGTATTAATATGATATAAAATTTAAAAAAACATTCTGGAAAAGATAATATATGTATATTGATTGCTTCTTGGTTTTAGAACAATGGTTGAATAGCATTACATACATTGAGTACACCATGATAGCCGTCGAAGAAAAATATGGTCCCTCGAGTATAGAAGTCTGTTACGAATTAAATAAATTAACAGATATATGCATCACCTATTTGCAGAACGAAAGTAAAACACAAACCAAATTTTATAAGTACGTATAGTGCTTTTGTTATACGCATTAATTAATCTTAAATAATAGAATTTTATTTCGATTGTACGTTTGTATATTTGTTTGATATTTGTCGCATCACATTACGTATTTTGTTACAGAAACATTTTAAAAAAGACACGGCGATATTTGAATAGATCTCAGGAAATTGTAGATCTCGCTTATGGTCCCTGGAGCGTTCTTCACAATGAAACTGTCGTCAAGAAGAAGGTTCTTGAGGATATCTTGAAAGATTATAACGTGTGATATGTGACAATTTTCAACGTATAACAGAGAATAAAGAGTGCAGAAGAAAGCACCTTTACATGCCTTTCCATAGATTGGATTATAATATAGTATTCATCTTGGTTAGTCAATTCATTATTTTTAATCTATTTACAATAATCACTGTTCAAAATGTACGAAATTTTGTGACAACTATCTCATATTATAAAGCTTATTTTATTAAGGATTTAATAAAGACTGCATTTTTAGCATAATAACGTGATGTTATATTTTGAATTTAAAACTTTCCTTTATATCTTCGCTTTTACATTTGATTTTCTTTACTGATTTCAGCCTAATTATTCGCACGGATCGGCTAGAATGTTTAATTTTTTAACGCACGCAGCAATAAAAAAGTTACAATTTCGAGTCTTTCAATTGGATCGTTATTGCCTCAGCCCGTTCTCCTAACTTTCCACTCCTTCTCCAATGTCTCCAAGTTTGGTGAGTAATTACCACGTCCCTTTTTTCATATCAAAATCGATCAAATTGCGCGCACATCGTCGAATATTTTTGTCGTCACTGTAAATTAATAAGCGATTTATTATCGCATAATTATCGCAAGACTCAAAATCGTTTTCACTGGCGACAATTGAAAGATTAATGTGTTTTTAATTACGTATTGGAAAATATCAAACAAGTCTTTTCCATCACTTTCTTTAAATAAATTCTACCGTATTTTCTCTAGAACATGAAAAATGGTATTCTCCGTAATTTTTCGTAATTTCCGTATTTTTTTAAAGATTATTAGACATATTTTCAAATTTTGCACATATACGTTATTCGTATTTTAAAATTTTTCATGAATTTAAATATGTTAAAGTATAAAATAATTTTTTGGTTTCTAATTTTACATATAACATATTTGGAACTAGTCCATATTGCTAATTAATGTGGCTATAACTCGTGTTAAAAGAGAAAATATTGAAAATTGTCAAAACAATGAAATTAAGAAAAATACATATAGATTTTTCATAAAAATTTTGAACAGTCGTATAAAAATAGTTAATTCGAAGATTGTAATAATTCTGCCATGGGCTTCAAGCAGATATACGTTATTTCAGTTCAATCAGTTAAATACTTTTTGAGAAATTGCTAGCGCGAAAGAAATTTAATTCGCAAACATGAGAATAAATATAATTTGAAGAAAAATATTCCAAGTACGGATATAACATAACCGAAGGCTTTATGATTCTCGCCTTTATTTAGAGATACCAGAGCCGTGCAATATATGGCACTAATAAATTTATGATACGTACATTATACTGAACAATAACTGTAAGTAAGAAGATTTGTTGGTTCCCATAGCAGTTAGCCTTGAGCATTTCGGATTTTATTTTACGAACTGTAGCCCACAAATGTCTGTAATTTCATTGTTTTGCGTATTTCGATGAAATATCTCGGGAGATTATTTTGCAGAAAAAAAGATTTAAAAACTCAATTTTTTTAAAATTCTATGATAAAATATCCTTTTAATTCATCTGCGAGTAAAACGTAAATGAATTAAAATTGATTGAGGAAAATTTATATTTCCGTCAAATTATCAAGTGTCTTTGAAATGAAAAATATACATGAAGTAAATATTTGCTTTTCCTAACGATTTAAAAGTATCTTGAAAACACGATGTCTCAGAAGAGATAAAAGTATTCCAATTTTCGCTCTTTCGAGAAATAGATATTTCGGATTGTAAGCCGGCTTCATTCTGGAGATAACATCCGCGATATGATTCTTATGCGTCTGAATAAGTGCAAAGGGCGGCGTCCGCTGCCGGATTACCGCCGTGAAAAGGCTTTTACTTGGATTGTTAAACATTAGAATTATTAATGGCTATATCTACTCCGCGCGACACTTGCTTTTACACTCACGACACTGTCGCGCGAGTTTCGCGTCCGGTTCGCCGCTTTTATGAATATTACGAGTATTTTCGTACGGAGTATCGCTACACATTTTTTAAACTTATCGTCCTCGCGCATTAACTTGGAGCTGCTGCCTTAAAATTTATCAGACACAATGTTATTTAATTAAAGAATAATCACACATGTGTTTATATCAAAATTCTCGCAACTATACGGCTGCTGTTTTGTTTCATTAAAACGTTGCGCATATTAACATATTTTTGCTCATACAGCGTTTTTTAAATATGCTATTAATATTCATCATCCTAGCTGCCGTTATTTTCGGCACGTATGCAATACTAATTAAAACAATTCGCTATTCGGGAACTTTAATTTTACTGCGCGCGGCTAGTAATATATACAGCTGCTCGAGTCTCGGCCGACTTCATTAAAAATACATCGAAGTGCATTCTCTCTGCCGCCGGCCGGCTTCATTTGCAAATGGCCCCATGCGTCACCGTATAAAATAAAACACAGCACCTCCGGTTATATGCATTACGCCGCGAATGAATTCGAACGGATAAGTTGATAACTTGACGTCGGAGCGAAGAAACTCCTTATTAGTATGCCGTTCCGGGGTGACAGGAATTCCTTATGCATCCGCGGACAATCCGTAGACACGAAAAGTGCATAAAACATAATTTCCTCGCAGTTTTAAAGCGCGCCGGGATGGAAACGATAATTGAATTTTTGCACTATCCGGAGCATCGTTGTACAGTCAGAATTATATAATGCGATTTACAAGGAAACCGACAGTTTTTATTGCTGATGTTTGTAATTTCACTTGGCGTCTAGCAGTATATTTTCTGCTCAAGTGCAGCAAACATTTTCTACATGCGAGGGGAAAAGCAGAAATATATCCTGCATCTAAATGAAATGCAAGATTGAAAAACTTCTTTTTCATTATCATTTATTTAAATATTCTTATATAATTGTCCGTACTTTTATGCGCAGCTGCGCATTCGTTCCAGTTTTAACTGAATTTAATTTCTCGTTTATTCGAATCGGAATGTAGGGCGAGAAAATTCACTGTTCTATTAGCTGTTCTAACTGGTTAAATATTAAATTCCACATTGTGTTTTGTTCCACACTTCTACGTACACTTGTACTTTAGCTTTCGCAACACTTGGTGCTGCAAAAACTAAATAAAATTTAAATCTAACATCTAATAAGGAAAATTTGCATGATATAACTTTGAAGAGAAATTAGAGAACGGCCCAAAAATTATAAAATTGAAAAAAAATTTTATCTGAAGAGTGAAATATCTTTTCGGCGTTTGACATTCATGATTTCGGAATGCCGAATAAATTTACGACTAAACCATGGCAACAAGACACAATATTCAGTCATCGTCGTGACGTACATGTTTTTAAAAGACGAGCGAGATTTACATTTTCGTGATTCCTATCGTCTCCGGGGAATTCGGACGAATGCACGCGTGTGCAGAATCTGCGTCGTTCGGATACCTGCAGCGCGCTCCTTGGAATCCGGTATTCCGCGCTCGGACTCGCTTCCGGTGTTTCCGCGGAGCGTATACGCACCGCGAGAGTCGCTGAAAAATTTATAACAGCACGCCGGATATATACGTCGTGTATACATATGTACACGTAGACGTAATGTATTTATATCGCGCAAAAATGAAACGCACGCCCACACCATCGGCGCCGGCCGTGCCACGGTATCGATATTAAACCAACCGGAACAGCTGTTTCGACCTTTTATAAAGTGTCGCACAGTGTGCCGCTCCTGGAGGTCAAAAGACTCGGGGGCTGCTTCATATCGAGCTCACGTGACGAGATATACTGCGCTGGAAAGGCTCGCATTGTGATTTGTTCATTTTGTCCCTTTGTAAAAGATTTTGGATTTATTTCATGTGCGATGAGAGAAAGATATGGATTTGAGTCGACCTATAACAATGTATATATAATATTCTTCTGTGCATAACATAGAGAGAAATGCATTTAACATTGCGCAGAATCATCTAGGATTGAGTGGATAAAATGATATTAAAAAATTTTAATGTCTTTGTCGCTTGACGTGTCTTTTGAATAAATTAGTTGCGCTGGAATTAAACATCTGGTCTAAAGATTTAATCCACGCATTGACTCTATGCAATCCATCGCATATGACTACTTCATTTGATTTATTTTAACAAATAACAAAGTGTGTGATTAAAGTGCAACTTTTCCTTCGAACGATCACCTTTCACAATTACTTTAATTAATGTTAAATAGATGTGTGCGAAGAAGTTTTAGAAAATTGAATGTTTTTATATTAAACTCGCGCGCGTAGGTGAACTTTGTCGCGCGTAACTGTCTCGGAGCTTAATTGCATACTGAAGTTGGACAGCCGGTCAGACTACTAGTGATTGATCGAGTCAGCCCTCGAATTCTCAGGTCATTAATCGCACACTAATCCGCATTCGGATTATGCTAGTGCTCTTTTCGCGTCCTAGCGGAACCATTTGCGAAACTATTCGTCGGGGGAAGATTAGGACGACTGGCGAACTCAGTTATCTTATCCCGGCGAAGGTTTTTATATCCCGAAAATACGGGTCGAAAAATATCACTGCGTGTATATATGAGATGATAAAGGGAGAGCTTAGGTTGTCGCAGAGCTTCAGAAAGCTTTTCTTTTATCAGCGCGCGCGCGCGCGCACTCTTATCTCGCCAGCGAAATCATTCCTTCGCGTCAGCGATTCAAGATCTTACGTAGTGTAGAAGAAAGAATAATGGATGCCATTTGACATTTAATTTGAAGTTAAAAGAACGAGAACTTGTAAATACATGCAACGTTTTTTCAAATAAACATTGATGTTTCGAGTCTGTCAAAATCAGAATGCGGCCAACTGTTTTTCTTGACTGTATCAATCGGTTTTGCGTTCGTTTTTTTTTCCACGTGAATTCGACGAGCGTAAACGTACGCGCGCGGCTAATCCGTGAAATAATAAATTTTTAAGCCGTTCTCTTCTTTCCGCGTTCGGTCAGACCGGTCGGAGGTGTCAAGCGCCGTTAATTTACGGGCGCGTAATCCCGCTAGATTGGTGGGATTTATCGTCGGCCGGGCGCATAAATTCCGCGACGAGCGATTATGCGGACTTATCTTCCCGGCGGCCTCGTTGAATTCGCGAATAGTGATACCGCGAGTCGTAAAGCGCCACGGTTTTACCCTCGCGCGATGTTGACGGCTCCATTGATCGAGTTCTGTTGTGATTCTGTTTTAATCCTTCGATGGTCGATAGATTGACGTGCTATTATTTTTTGTAAATATGGAAAAAATTGTGGGAATTTTATATATTTTTTTATTCGACAATCTTATGT